CTGCTGCATCAGCGAGGCGGCGTGGGGTGGGGCAAAGGTGGGGCTGGGCTGGGTCAGACGATTCACGCTAATGCACAGCGCCATGCAGAAGCAGGCCCTGGCGGGTGCGGTCGGCATCCAGCGGCATCCACGTAGCGCTACCAGCACCACCAACCCGCACCACCACCACCACTGAGGGCAAAAGGCACCAAAACACACGCACACGCACACACGCACACACACACACACAAAACAGAGGAGAGAGGCATAAAAGACACGGCAAATTTCAATTTCATATTTTTCCGAACGTTGCCCCATTTTTTCCCCTTTTTTATATGTTTTACACTGCTCTTCTCTCCGCGCCAGCCAGCCGTAAAGACTGCGCGGGGAAGGGGTCAGACCAGGCGGGGCTGAGGGGGGCAGTAACATCTTGCTGGGGGTGTAAAACGGGCGGCGGGGCGCGGCCAGCCCGCGACACACTCGCTCACTTATATAGCGGCGAGAAGGAGCGGGCGCCGGAGAGGAGCAGAAGAGCCAAAGACGTAAATATAAAGCGTTCTTCCGGTGATCGAAGTAGTGGCGAGGGGATGTCGAGGACCGACGCGGTGGCGACGTCTCAATTCAGGAGAGCGAGACTGGGCAAGAGAGAGTGGAGAAAGAGAGCGAGAGAGAGGGTGGGAGATGAGAGAGGGGGGAGAGAGAAGAGACACAAGAGAGAAGAGAGAGAGAATAAACGTGCTCCTCGGGCGGACGGCGGGATGTAATGGATACAAGGGAAAGTCCTGCGCCGCCGCTAACTCGGAGTAATAGAAATTACACAAGTGCAATGTGGTAATAACCGACAGCTCCCCCTCGGCTCTGCAGCTCGGCTCGTGTCAGCAGGGACCGCCGCCCCGAGCCACCTCGCTGGTAATCCCCGTCTGCTCCGGGGCCAGCCCGCCCCGCCTCGTGCCCCTCCTGATACGGTCTCTGTGGTGTTCCGACCAGCATAACGTCGTTGTCACCACAACAGGAAGATTCGGAATAAAAAATTATAAACCTTCCTGAGCTTTTCACGTTACAACCTATAAAATACGGTCGAGCCATGGTAAGGAAAACATAAAAATTTTAAATGACACATTTGTTTAGTCGCTACGTAATGAGCATTGTGAATTTAAGTAGCCCACGAAGAGAATCTCTTCACGGGATCGTGTTCATGAACAGTTTTATTCTGTTTGAGTTCGTTCGCAAAGAAATGGTTACCGAAAAATTCATAAACGTAGATAAAAATAAATTTAAAAATTACAGTGGCTGCGGCTGCCAGGTAGTTTATCGATAACCGGTAACAAACTTAGGTTAAAGGGATTTGGGTATCAAGATCACAACTGCATATTTTTGTTTAAGAACCAGCAAGCCCGGTAGCCAACAAGACTGTGAAAATGGACATGGAAAAATAAAAATCGTTACTTTTTTTAACGTGTAGAAAAACTCCCGATCGACTCCCGCAAAGAAACGATACGGATGTTATTGCCTTTTAAACAACAAGCCGGAGCAGGGGAGTTTGGCGTGGGAATGTGATCAAAATGAAGAGGAGCGTCGAGGCTGGCTGCAGATAGCACTTCTGGGGACGTGCGGCGGCTGTTGAGATGACGGCCGCGCGGCGGGCCGGGGCCAGGCCCGGGGGCCGGCGGGACCGGCCGGGGATTGTGGGCCAGTACATTGTAGCGTTACGAGCACGGACTGCTCTAGCCCCGCTAGTTATCACCCCGGAATACGGCCCGGGGCGCAGCGGGGCCCCCAGCGGGCGCCCAGCGGGGCCCAGAGGCCTGGAGGGCTCTCGCTGATCCTGCGGAGCCCGGCAGGGCCGCTCGAGAGGACGCCGAGCCCATAGACGGACGGTGCGAAGTGTCCTGCTGTAGCCGCTGGCCACCTTCACGCAACGTAACCGTTTTAAAAAATAGATACAAAACACATGTTTGGCACTTTTGCATGTATTGTTTGTATCTCAGAACCGAGAGGGAGAATTGGTAAAAGTCACATTTACTTAGAGGGAAATTGCAACAACGAGATTGCTGATGAAATATGTGGTACGACAAATTTAGAATCGGTATTGTAATTTTAAGTTTTTTGATATAGTGATAAAATATTTAGGTTTTGAAACATATTTGGCAGTGGTAGTACAAACAAATCTGAAAAGCCGTATCTAGAGCTCTTATTAGTCACAACAACACCAACACCATATTTAGATCTACAGGCGCATGCTGGGTCCAAGTTGCGACACAGGTCATCACAACTCAAAGTCCAGCGGAGATCTTCCTCCCTGTCGCCACGTGCCGAGCATACACTGAAAACCCAAGTGTGTGAGAGTGAATGTAGGTGTGTGAACGACACATGGAGGCACAAGTGTGTGAATTTCAAAGAAAATTCACATATTACTCCATTTGGAGTATACATGGGCCTTCACGCACCTACAAGTGCGCGTCATTCACTCACGTTGCGTCTCCAGTGCAACGGCAGCACGACGACGCTGATGATCCCGCCCGAAACAAGTCGTTCGCGCGCAAGCGAGTCGCATTAAAGTGAAAACAACTCCGATGGGCGCCAAAGACAGCCTCTCATTAATTACAGCTGGGTCCAGGCGGGCCATATTGGCGTTGGGGGCCCGCGTGTACCGCCCCTCCCCGCAACCTGTAATCGGATTATGTTAAGCGTCCCTCTGCACATGCTGCTGCTGCTGCCCCTCCCCCCAACCCCCCCGCGCTCTGTGAAAAATAGGAATAATATTATTAAAGACAAAATAAAAAGAGAGAAGGGAAAGCACCGGGGCGGCAAAGCTGGATGAGGTTGCCATCCTCCACGTCGCACAGGGAGGAGAGAGAGAGAGAGATGAGGGGAGGGCGAGGGGAAAACGCTGCGCCCCTCGGTATTCCGGATCTGGACCCAGCCAGCGGCCGCGCGCCCGCCCGACAAGAATCCAAATCACACGACGACTGGTTTAGCCCGTTAATGAAGCAGGCCTCTAATGGCCCCGTGTCGTAGACTGCCGCGCCCCGCCCCGCCCTGTTGCGTCCCAACCCGTTGCGTTCGGCAAAGCAAAACAAACAAAACTCCACGGACTGGACCAACCAGCAGCTGTAATTATTCGGACCTGGTGCCTTGCGCCTTTTTTCTTCTTCTTTTTACGTGCGTCGGACAAACGGATGCTGGGAAACGCAGCTTGAACTTTATTGGTTTTGCCGCGCCTCCATTATTCGACCTCATCTTTCCAGAAAAGCTCCCCTCTCTCCTTTACTAAAGTTTGAGTGTACACACGTACACACGTATGCATTTTGTACAGAACTACCTCGACCTCAATCAGCTTTAATAACATTTAAAAAGCTTGAAAGTTTTAACGCCAAAAGCGTACCCCTTTTGGCAAACACAAAAGCACCCATCAAGAATATTTCTTCGGCTATCAATGAGCATTTTAACCCTCTATCATTACTTTTCTTTAAACAGAACGGCTTCGCTTTCTTATTGGTTGGAGAAACCCACTCTTTTTCGAAAGGTAACAATAATAATTTTGTGCTAAAAGAAATCTTTGATCTTTGGGTCCGAAATGTAAACTCGAAAAAAGAAAACACAATTTTCCTGGTGGCGCTCCTTTCCTGCGGGGGTCCGCCTTTTGATTCACGACGCGTAGGACGCTCATTTCCCGCGCCATCAGTAACGCGTTAATTGACAACAGGATTGGCGAGGAGAGCGATGCCCTCCCCTCGGCCAGGAGCGGCGGCTCCTCGCAGCTCCTCGCTCCCCCCAAGGCCCGCGAGGAAGCCGACTACTCTCTAGCGCGCCAAGACGAGTGTTCTGGCCGTTGTTTATTGACGGGCCCAACGGACGTCGTCGTTCCTATGCAAGAGCCCGGCCGGAGCTTGCTCGGCGTCGACACTCCGTACCAGAGGGCTCGCTGCGCCCCCCGCCCGGAGAACGGGAGGGCCGTAGTGCTCCAGCCGTCTTCGTACTTCTCTCTCTCTCTCTCTCTCTCTCTCTCGTTAACACAGATATACGAGCGCTTCGCGGGCTCCACACACACACACACATGTCCTTGTGTGTGAGAGAGAGGAGAGAGGAGGAAGGGGGAGCCATGTGAGTGTCTACGGACTAGGCGTGCGACAATTAAGGAAACGGGCTGAGGAAGCTGTCAAGGAGCCTCGAGCCCCGGCGTGGCGCGGCGTGGCGAGGAGCGGCGTGGAGCGGCCGCCAGGATGTAGCAGCCACGTTCAGTTTGTCCTTGTCGCACTCGTGCTGCTTGTATGAAGCACCAGCCGGAGAGCAACGGGAAAAAGACAGAGAGAGGGAGTAGGGAGTTGAGAGAGACGAGGGCGACCCCCCTTACCCCCTCTCTCTTTCCCGATGATTTGAGAGCGGGCCCAACTACTTGTGATGGAGTGAGAGAGTGCGTTTGTGACTTTAGCGATAATTTGAGGGCCCCTCTAACTGCTCTGCATGTGTGCGCGCACCAGAGCGCGCTCTGGCTGTTAGTTTTCGTCGCCGGAATTCGACGCCCATTTGTCGACCCTATTAGCTTCATTGCAAAAGCGACGACACGAGTGTGTGTGTGTGTGTGTGTGCGTGTGTGAGTGGGGGGGAAGAGGGGGTGGCTGTGTTTGCAGGACGGGCGTGTGTCACGAGCCCTGGCGATAAACAAGTGATAAGTCACGCCTACAAGCTGCAGAAGCGGCGCTGCTCTTCACTAATTAGGTGGCGCCCAACCCGACAGCACATGCACTGAAAAAAACCGGATTTTAAATTAACAAACAAACAAACCAAGAAGACGTTCATCGATGACGATCGATGGGCTATGCCGTATTAGCTAGTTGATGTGAATACTGTTCCTATTTGCACTGTTTAACATTTGATGTGAATTCACGAAGGTTGACTCCCGACCACATTTAAAAATTTTCAGAGAACTTCGATTTTGGAAATTTGAGGCAGGTCAGAGTTAAATACCAAAGGACTGTGGCGGTTTAAATGACGACTACACTTCTTTTTGAACACCCAGATTTATTGACAGTGAGTCCCAACAAATTGTTTATTACAAAATGAATACCTCACCGTCCTTCCTCTCCCTACCGGGTTCTTAACCACTAAAACGGCGCCCAGAGCCGTTGGGAGCCCCATGGACTAGTCCTTCCTCTAAGCTTTGGCGATTTGTGGGTCACAGGAGAATACATAAAAATCACACAAGAGCAACCAAATACAACACCTTACTTAAAATAAATCCCACGGACCAAAAGGCAGGTATAAGAAAGAAACGCAATACAAAACAAGTCAAAATTGGATACAGCCGGGCACAGAAATAACATTCACTCGAAACCAATATTATCTTACTCAGGACAGTGCCCATTGGACATGGAGGCTGTGATCCTGGGGGCATTTTGTGTCGAAATCATGCCAGAAAAGGTAAAAATCATAACTTTCAAACTTCTTCATAACTTCGTGGCAGCCCACACCACATGCCTCACAAGATAATATACCACAGTATTGCGGCAATGCACTTAAGCCCAAATGAAGCAAAGGATTCTTGGACATATTTGTCTTAAACGCGTCCCTGTGGAGGCAGGCGTGGCCGCAGAGACCTGTTCCCAGCCCCAGCTTAACGGAGCGCAAGGCCGGTGCTGTGGCGGGGGTGATGGCCAGCGCCAGCTCGTCCAGCTTCTCCATGTTTCCTCCCACGTCTACTCGCAGGTGTCGCAGGGCCAGCAGCGAGGGCATCGCGGCGATCAGCTCCTGCAGATGGCAGAAGTATTGTCCATTGCCATCATTTTCGATCTCCAACGACTCGAGGGGGGACCGTCCCGACGACGCCAGGGCCCAGATCACGTCCACGCCCACGTCAGCGGTGCAAGGGGAATACCAAACTTTCACTTCGCGCAGCTGCGGGGCGCGCATCAGGAGAGCCGCGGCCCCCGCGACCGCACCGCGGTGCTCAGTCTCGGTCCGCACGGTCAGTTCCAGCTTTCTAAGTGTGTGGCTGGCAGCCACGGCCTCCACGCCGGGGATGTTGCAGCAGCTCAGCTTGGTGAGTTTCGGTAGCCCGAGCAGCAGGGGCACAGTGGCGACGCAGAACATGCCTGACGCTTCGCTGTTCAGGTCTACTGTCTCGAGGGTGGCGGCGTGCCCAGCCAAAATAAGGTTCACGAAAGGCTCCATCTCCGGGCTAAGTACACACTTGAAATGTCTTAGAGACGGCGCTGATATAGTACACTCTGTCTGGAAGGGGGTTGGCAGTCTTCCTCCCCAAACCTCCACCTCAAGTTTTACCAGGCCATGAGTAGACGCACAGGTTTCAGTCAACACAGAAATGACAGCTGGCTTACTGGAATACAGTTCAACTCGAAGACTCTTGAGCCGGCCCAGCGCCTGCTGCCTGTTGATCAAGGCCGCTGCGGCGAGCGCGTTATCGCTACCGTCCGATACCTCGAGACACAATTCCGCCGCGGCGCAGCGGGTCCAGGCGAGCGCCGCCTCCCGACAAGGGACTCTATCGTGCAATTCCGTGTAGAAACACAGAACACGGACGCACGGCGCCAGTCGCAGCTCCGGACACACGCAGGCGCAGCCTCCTACGAAGCCGCCGACCACTCGATGCCGCCACGCGTCCCCATGGAGGGCAAGGGCCCCGAGCCTCTTACACACCAGCCGGCAGGCCAGGAGGGACCCCACGTCCAGGTATCGCAGCACCAGCACCAGCACGTCGTCCGGAAGCCGCTCCAAGCTCTGCAAGCAAACAAAGTGGATCGGGGCATCAGTGGGAAAATCACACGAGGACGGAGCTTGGAGCTTGTGTGTCGCGTTTAAGTCACTCATTTTCTGCACGTCTGATTTGGACTAAAGGTTTAAATTACTTGAACCCACCTCCACCCTCCCCTCTCCTACATCTCACCCTCCTCATCGCTGTGACTAAAAATTATTTACAAAGAGCAGTACTTATATTACGAAGTGGGTATGTAACGTGCAAAGAAACTGGAACCGCATTACAAACGGATTTTTATTCATATCAAAGAGCGACACTATGTCAACAGACTTCGTGTGAAGCCATGAAGGGTTTGTATTACGAAGGTGACAAATTCTTCACATGATACAAGGAGCAGTTCTTTGTAAGAAACTTGCAGGAACCCACTGCTGCTCTCCCGACCTCCCTTACCATCCTACCAGCACCAGCCCAGCGATTGGACGCGCAGCCACCGCTGCGCTCCAGTCAGTATATGGCTCGGTGTGAACTGCACTGGCTTCTTTGGCTGCACAGAGAACTAGGGAAGTAGCTTCGTGGGCTGATCGTCGGGACTGTTATGGCAGTGGTCCCGTTGTTTAAAAATGAAATGTGTATTTTTAAAAAAGGTATGCAGTTTCAAAACCTCATGTCTACCTGTTCAAGTTAGGTCTCCACTATACATTCTCACCATATTGCATGTGGTTTATGAAGATTAATAAAGCCAAGGGGTGACAACCCGCAAGGCAAAAACCTAGAGCGGCCTCGGAAAAAATGATCATTCGTAAGGAGGCTGATTTTGTAGGGGTTAAGGTATAGAGTCAGGTAAATGAGAGAAATTAAACAATTATTTATTCAAGGCACATCTCAGGACAAACAATGCAAAACTCGTCACAATTAGAAGGTGACCGCTAGAGAACTAAATTAGCTTCAGCACAATCAATCTCACTTAAAATAGCACCCATTGGAACTGGTGGCTTTTGACACTGTGCTCCTGGGGGCAATTAGTGTCGAAATCATGCCAAAACAGGTGAAAATCAAAACCTTCAGGCTTCTTCACAATAACGTGGCAACCCTGGCCGCACGCCTGACAGAATTCGTCATCAGCACAGTACAGCGGTAATGAATCTAGGCTAAAATGAAGCAAGGGGTTCATGGACATGAGTGACTGGAATGCGTCTCCGTGAAGCCAGGCGTGGCCACACGCCCCTTTACCCAGCCCCAGATCAACGGTGCGCAGGGCCGGAGCTGTGGTAGAGGTGATGGCCCGCGCCAGCTCGTCCAGCTGTTGCACGCTATTCACGCCTACTCGCAGGTGCCGCAGGGCCGGCAGAGAAGGTATCGCGGAGATCAGCTCCTGCAGATGGCAAAAGTGATGCCAATGGTTATCATCGGTCCAGTTGTAGATCTCCAACGACTCTACGCAGGCCCGTCCCGACGAACCCAGGGCCCGCACCACATCCACGTCAACATCAGGGGTGCCGGGCGAGTAGGTCACTTTAATTTTAAGCAGCTGAGAGGCCCGCCGGAGCAGAGCCGCGGCCCCCGCGACTGCACCACGGTGTTCTGTCTCGGTCCTCACGGTCAGTTGCAGATCTCTGAGTGAGCCACAGGCGGCCACGTCCTCCACGCCGGGGATATTCCAGCAGATCAGCTTGGAAAGCTTCGGCAGCCTGGCCAGCAGGGGCCCAGTAGCGACGCATGCCATGCTGTCCAGCCCGCACCCCAGCTCAACCGTCTCGAGCGTAGCAGCGTGCCCGGCCAAGACGAAGTTCACGTACGGCGCCGTCTTCGGGTTGAGCTGGCACTTGAAATATCTAAGAGACGGGGTCAATACGACGCAGTCGTGTCGGAGGGGAGTTGTCTGCACGCCTAAGGCCAGAACTGAAACCTCAAGCTTTTCCACGCCGGGAGTCATCGCAGCGGCCGCCGCCAAAGAGAGATCAGCCGCATTGGAGAAAAAAGACATAAAAAGTCGAATGCTCCTGAGCCGACCCAGCGCCTCCTGCCTGTAGATCAATGCTGCGGCGGCTTGCGCGTCACCAGCACCCTGATGCACGTCCAGCCTCAACTCGGCCGCGGCGCAGCGAGTCCAGGCGAGCGCCACCTGCAGGCACGGGGGCGGCTTGTTGAAGTTGGTGCTGACTCTCAACACGCGGACGCACGGCGCCAGTCGCAGCTCCGGACACACGCAGGAGCGGACGAGTACGTGGCCACCGACCACTCGATGCCGCCACGAGTCCCGGTGAAGGGCCAGCGCCCCGAGCCTCTTGGAAACCACCCGGCAGGTCAGGAGAGACGGCACGTCCAGGTGCTGCAGCACCAGCACCAGCGCGTCGTCCGGCAGCCGCTCCAAGCTCTGCAAGCACACGAAATGGATTGGGGGGTCAGTAAGGAAAGTCACACGAGGACGGAGCTTGGAGCTTTGTGTGTAGTGTGTATTTTTCTGTGCAAATGATTTGGACTGAAGGTTTTAATTACCCTACCATTTTTCGCCCTCTTGTTTCCTCCACCGAAACCCTCTTCACGGCTTCTCTTTCCCCCCTCACCCGATCGAGCTGGCGATCCGAGGCGCAGTCCCCCCTGCACTCCAGACTGCGGGCGGCTCGTTGTGAACTGTTGTGGCTAGGTGAGCTGCACGCAATTGGTTGACTAGTAGTTGAGAATGGTATGCAGTTCAAAACCATTGCATTAATCCCTTTTGAGGGAAGGTCTCCAATGCATTCGTAGTGTATCAGATGTGTTTGTCAAGCTGAGTATATCCAAGGGGTAACGAACCACGAGGCAGAAAATCACAGCAGCTCCCGGACAAAAAAAAATAGTATCTTTGGTCATACGTGTAAAGGATGAAAGTTTTAGGGATCAAGTCATACGAGAAATCAATTATTTATTCACAACACATCGGAGAACATACAAAACGAAACTCTTAAGAAAAAGAATGTTTCCAGGAACTAGAATTACAATCATCAAAATATTGTCACCTGGGAAAGTGACCATTGTAAATGATCAATTCCATGATCCAGTGGGCACGTTTCGTTAATATCATGCCAGAAAATGTCAACATAAGCACCATCCATCAGTTGGTCATGGCAGCCCAGTGTGCATGCCTGGCAGGATTCATCACAACATAAAAGCATATAAGCATACAATCTGACGTGGAGCAAAGCATTCCGGGACATAAGTGTGTTAAATGCGTCCCTGTGGAGCCAGGCATGGGCGCAGAGCCCTTCATCCAGATCAAGATGAATGTCTTGAAGCGACGGTGCAGTGGCTGGAGTAATAGCTAGCACCAGCTTGTCCAGCTTCTCAATGCTTTCCAAGCCCACGTAGAGGTGTCGGAGGGCGCAAAGCGAAGGCAGCGCGGTCATAAGCTCTTGCAGATGGGAGAAGTTTCGAGAACACTCTGCTTCACCGTTGTTGTTATAGATTTCTAACGACTCCAAGCAAGACCGTCCCGACAACGCCAGGGCCCGGACCACATCCACGTCGACGTCAGCAGAGGGCGGCACGCACCTCACACTCAGCCAGCGAATCTGCCCAGCTCGCAGGAGGGTTGCGGCACCCGCAACCGCACCGCGGTGTCTACTCTCGGTGCTCACAATGAGGTTCACCTCAGTGAGCGTCTCACCGCCAGACACAGCCTCCACACCAGGGATGTTGCAGCAAGTGAGCTTGCTCAGCTTCGGCAGCTTGGCCAGCAGAGGCCCAGTAGAGACGCAGGCCATGCTGTCCAGCCCGGGTTCGCGACCCCCGAGCAAGTCAACCGTCTCTAGGGTGAGCGCGTGCCCCACCAAAATAAAGTTCACGAAATGCTCCGTCGCCGGGCTAAGTACACACTTGAAATGTCTTAGAGACGGCGCTGATATAGTACACTCTGTCTGGAAGGGGGTTGGCAGTCTTCCTCCCCAAACCTCCACCTCAAGTTTTACCAGGCCATGAGTAGACGCACAGGTTTCAGTCAACACAGAAATGACAGCTGGCTTACTGGAATACAGTTCAACTCGAAGACTCTTGAGCCGGCCCAGCGCCTGCTGCCTGTTGATCAAGGCCGCTGCGGCGAGCGCGTTATCGCTACCGTCCGATACCTCGAGACACAACTCGGTCGCGGCGCACCTGGTCCAGGCGTACGGCGCCGAAGGACATGCTGCGAAGCCGTCGAGCATGGGAATGCTGACGACCAGCCTTCGGAGGCATGGCGCCAGTCGCAACTCTGGACACACACAGTCAGCAGAAGACAGGCGGACGTCAACCTCTCGATGTCGCCACGCGTCCCAGTCGAGGGCCAGCGCCCCGAGCCTCTTGCACACCAGCCGGCAGGTCAGGAGGGAGATCACGTCCAGGTACTGCAGCACCAGCAGCAGCGCCTCATCCGGCAGCCGCTCCAAGCTCTGCAAGCACACACAAGTTGAATCAAGACTAAAGGTCAGCTACTAGAGAAGCGCAGACATGTGATTAGGTACCAAGAGACGGAAGGAGAGGAGTTCACAACGAACTATGCTGCTCGATGGTGTTGGAAGATTGAGAAGGTGGACGTGCAAGCCACCCCACTCCCCACTCCCGTACCTTCCAGGCGGCCAGCAACGTGGATAGCAGTAGACCACTGTAAACTGGTTGGCCAGAACGCCAATATTTTGGCGTTGAAAGACGCCAACCAGTTTACAGTGACGGGACTGCGTAAATTCGGGAGAGGGAAAAACAGACGAGAGAGTGCAAACATTAATTTAAAATCGTCGATGATAGGAGGCTTGTAGGCTGGGTCCCACACTGTTCACGACTCTGACGACGAAAGGCTGGCTAGGTTAAGCTGTTCTGTGGCGCTCTAAATGAATACGAACCACTGAGTGTTACATTAAAGAGACCGCAGAAGCTATGTTTTGTGGTGACTCGAGACAAATGTCAAATCACGCATTGATTATGGTATAAAGTCACACAGATTACAAATTTTCAACAATTCTTTATTTACAGCTTACCTAAGGACATACAAAACAGAAAAGTTGTCACTGTTGAG